ACACTTATAACAATTAATATTATACCATAAATATTTCGATTAGGAATGCCAATTAATAAATATTTTCTTACACATAAATACTTGTATACCAAGTCTTCATCATTTTACAAAGTTATTAATAGAAAATAGAAATTTTGTGACAGGAATTTATAAATTTTTACAAAGTTAGTAATGGAAAATAATAATTTAAGAATAAAAAATACTAATTTTCAAATAGAAAATACTTGTTATTAGACTTAGAATTCTTTTAATATATACGGAATAAAACTAATGCTCTATTAAATAAACATGCCAATAAAAACCCCTTTTCCTTTTATATATTTAATTCTCTTTTTTTCAAAAATGGAAAAATCTCTCCAATTAGTATTAGCTCAAAGTAATAACAAATATTCACATGTAATTTTCATTAGTCCTACTAATCTATCTGTTTTTAGAATAAATTTATTTGTTTTGATTATTATTTTTGAATATGAGTTCTTTTTTATCAATTTCTAAATATATTATTTGATTTAAATTTTTTCCAACAATGAATTAAGATACAAAAGTTTTTAAATGCGATTATGCTAAGGAATTTGTGTGGAACCAATACAATCTTAATTTCCATAGAGTATATTTTTTTCGTTAACTAATTCTTTAAATATCACTTAATGACATAACGTGCTGACATGTCATAAAAAGCATAGTAAGCGTGCCACATGTCATAATTGTCATGTTATCAAAGTCATCAAAGGTGGCGGATGATTTGTAAAATAATTGCCAAGTAGACATGTCACATGTCGCAATTCCGGAACCCCAACTCTCAAAGATTATATATAAATATTGCCTCAATTATTGTTTTATAACAAACAAGCTTAATTATTGAATTACCTTATTTGTGAGAATTTATTGGAATGATAATGACCTTATTGATGGAAAGAAATTTTTAATTGTACATAAATAACATAATTAAGGTTTGAGTTAACATAAATAAATTAATAGGATCGGACATAGATAATATGTACATAAATAACATAATTAATGGTATAAATGTATAATTTTCAAACATAAATTTTTAAATATGTACATAAATAGATAAATAATAATAAAAATTTAATATATTAAAAAGACAAATTAAATTAAACACAATTATAAAAAGTATAAATTAGGGAGAAGGACCAAATTAGTAGTAAAACATATAACATATCCTCAAAATAAGAGTTGAAACATAAACTCCCCAAAATAGGAGTAATTAACTTTTAATTAATCTAATGGCTTAAAACTAAGGAGTAAAATACAAGTAAAACATTGACCATGTACCAAAATAGAAGTTATATTCATATTACAAATATGAAATTAAATACATTTTATAAATTAAAAAAATTCTAAAAGAGCTACAGCCCCAGCCACACATGTCACTGTCGCCACCCCTTTCCCCATTGCCGCTACTGTCGTCGCCGCCACTCCATCGCCACAATCTCTTGGTGTCGTCGCTATTAAATGCAGTCACCATCTACATTATTGCTGCCATTAACACCGCCACGATTGGCGAATTCGCCTTCATCACCACCACGATCTGCCGCTCTCATCCCCATTTGTTGCGGGTGTCGCCTCCATCGCCCCCATTTGCTGCTATCAATGTCGTAATTTACTACCAACGTTGGGATCAGAATTGTCATTGTCGCTACCATAGTGACATGGTGTCACTGCTAAATGAAAAAGCTTTCAATACAATGCCAACCAAAGCCACAATGTTACAGACGATAATGCATACTAACAAACATGTCATTGCATAATGCCAAACATGTCATTGCGTAATGCCAAACATGTCAATATAAAATGTCAAAAAGAAATTAAAATGTCAAGATTGCCAACATACAATGTCAATTTTCTTATCACTATTACCAAATTTTGCTAAAATTGGGAGAAACATTTAAACACAACTAATAAAAAACAATTAAATAAAAAAATTAAAAGAAAAAATAATCAAATACAAAAATGAAAAGAAAAGATCAAACCAAAATCAATGCCTAATGAAGATGCAATTTTTCGGAGAAAAAAAAGATGAATGCAATAAGTTGGAAGTATTTCTTACTTCTACGATGCAGTCTCAATTATAGAGCATTTGGAAGCTAATTAAAAAAAATCATAGTCATCGTGACTGGCGGCAATCTTAGCTCTGATGGATATAGGCGGTGCGATATATCTGCAAAGGAAAGAGATAGAGGCGGCACTCCGCAGCGGATCTACGTGGGATGCTTCGTAACAGATCTGCAAAGGGGGAAGCTAGTGCGGCGGCACTGCAAGGAGTGGGGTGGCGGTGATGTACTGCACTTGGGGTGGATTTGACGGAGGCAACACTTCAAAATGATGAGGGTGCGCGGTGGCCAAAAAGAAGAGAGAGAGGAGAGAGAGAGGCATGGCGGGGCGGCTGTGAGGAGATGGAGCAGAGAAAGATGTGATTAATTAAAGATTTAATACTATTAATGGGGTTTTCTTTACTACTTAATTAATTACTCCTATTTAAAGGAGTTTATGTTTACACTCTTATTTTAAGGATATGACATATGTTTTAGGGAGAAGGAACAAACTAGGAGTAAAACATATGCTATATCCACAAAATAGGAGTTTAAACTTAAACTCCTCTAAATAGGAGTAAGACATAATTAATAAAACAAAAAAATTGCTCCCACATGCACATTTTTTTAAGATGCATGCGACTGTACCAGTGAGGCAGTGATTACATTTTTTTGCAAGGAGCATGATCAGATTTTAACTTAAGGAGCACTATACTAAGTAACTACATGGGACTATATTTTTTTTGCAGTCATGTTTTTTATTTTTTTATTTTTTTATTTTTTTATAAAAAGTTAAAATAAAGGTTTTAACTTAATTAATAAAACAAAAAAATGCCCCCCAGACACGCTGAATTTGCGGCCAATACCAGTGGTGGATAAGTTCAAAACTAAAAGATTCAGCCAATTTCACAATAGCATGCTACTGACAGCGACGACCATTATTGCAATCGTCGTCGACGGTGATGCCCACCGCCGCCATCGTCACCGCCACATACCTGCCACTATCACTTGAATCTCCACCACCGCCGTCCTCTGCTCCGTTGCACCGCTACAAAGAAACCTACAATTGACGCTTTTGATTTTTCATCATATCGTCACCGCCGACGATATCACTACTCTATACAACAACACTACCATAAAATTTGCACCATCATCGTCACAGTGCCATATTAATAGTCAATACAGTGTCAAAGGAAAGAAATAATAATGTCAAACATGGCATCATGCCAAACATGTCAATGCCTAATGCAATAAATGACAATGTATAATGACAAACATCTCAACCTATAATGACAAACATGTCAACATATAATGTAACAAATGACAATACATAATGTTAAAAAGGAGAAATGCCAATAAACTCTATAATTTTCCAATGTCATAATCATTCAATTCAAACTTCAATATAGTAATTCATATTCTAGATCAAGAGTGTCAATCGAATTTTTATTCCAAGTACCCCAATCACACCTACAATAAGATTTTCTTTTTTGCGTATAAAAAAAACTAAAAAAGAACGATAATCTCAAAAGTTTGTTTGGATTCTTTGATTTGTTCAAATTATAGCTAAAATCTACACAAAGAGTAAACACAACAAATCCAAAAAGAAATATGCAACGAAAACATGAAAAAAAGTTTAGAAAATCATTGAAATCCAACGAGATTGTATTGTATGCACGCAACACACACAAAAATTCCAATGACAATTTGTAGCCCCAACAAATATAAACATAGATCTAATCAAGAGTCATTGAAGGAATTTGATGAATAAATGAAACTAAAAACATGCAAATGAATTGAAAAAACAGGGCAGCGAGGGGACACAGGCGATGGCGGAAGGGGGCGGCGGCAATGGCGGAAGGGGCTTGATGGCGATTGCGGCAGCAGCGGTGCAATGCTGAAAAGGAGGAGAGAGAAAGGAGGTGGGACGGCTGTGTTGTTTTACCAATCGATCTGGAAGTGGAAGGAGTAGCGGACACTATATAAAATTACAGAGTAAATTCTAAATTGGATTATTATACTTAATAAAGAAAAATGCTAGGGGTACACCAAATGTGTACCCCATTTGTCCCCCACCCCCTCCTTGTCCACACAAAAAAGGCAAGAAATTAAAAATAAATAAATAAATAAAAATAAAATAAAAATGGGTGGTGGAGAAGTGGGTGGTGTACAAATGGGGTACCCCAAATGGTGTACCCCTAGCACTCCTCCTTAATAAATACTCCTATTTTGGGTATATAAGTTTGGGACTCCTATTTTGGATATATGTCTAATGATTTACTCCTATTTAGGGGGTTTTCTATATGTTTTACTCCTATTTAGGGAGTTTTTTATAAATTATAACTAAATAGATATTTCTTATTTTTTTTAGTAAAGATATTTCTCATTAATCACAATAAATGAATGATATTAGTTGTATTATTCTTTTTTCTGCCCATGTAATTATTCTTTTTAGTTGCAGGGGCGCAAATTATATCGTACATCCGGTTGTACCTAATTGTAGGTACAACCGGCTAATTGAAGAAGGAATGAGATGAAACGGAAGCTGCCGAAATTACTGCGTCTCCTCTATTTGTTGATCGGGTCGGGCCACCGGAGAAGAAAGACGGAAGGTGGCGGCAGTGATGACGAGGAGCAGCGAAGACGGAAGACGATGGAGTAGCGAAGATGACAGTGGCGAAAATTTGGAGAAAACGATGGAGAAGGAAGGTGGCGGCGGCGTTAAAGCGGGTCGGGTCGCGAAAGAAAGCCGCGGTGCTGTAGATGGAGGAGATGTGAAACCCTAGTTGAAGAGAAAAAGGTTATTCATGATATGTGTTTTATTTTATTTTAGAATGAACATTAAGTTATTTGAGAATGAGTACTATTTTTATTCAGAATGAACACTACGTTATTTGTGAATAAATATTATAACTGTATTGAATAAATGTGTGAATATGATCACTACATTATTTTAGAATGAGTACTACGTTATTTTATTTTAGAATGAGTACCACATTTTCAAAATGAATAATTATGTTTGTGTGAGAATGAATACTTCTTTACTTCAAAATGAATACTACTCGGATGTACCTACTTCTACTTACCTCCGAATGTACCATATACCTTCTAGCATGTAATTCTTGACTAGTTTGAGATAAATAAGAGGGGAACTCGCCGTTGGACTTATATTAAGGAACTGAAGGAAGCAGATGGACTTGAAGGGAAAACCAGCTGACCATGGCTACTACATGCCTGCTGAGTGGGAATCCCATTCACAAACTTGGATCGGCTGGCCAGTAATAACTCTCTCTCTTTTGTTCTTTCTTTCTTTACTTGATTATCTCGAAGTAGTATTTTGCGCCGCATCTTAGATTGATGTTATTGTGGTTAGATCTATTTTTCGTGATTTTGAGTTCTCTCCCTTTTGGAATCTATGAATTTCGGATGGCAGGAAGCAAGCTCGAATCATATATTCATATTCTGGTGATGAGAATTTGGCCCTAGTTTCTTTTAGATAGAATTGAAGCTAACTATTCCAGATTTCAATCACTTTCTTAATTTTCATAATTAATCTATGTGAAGTAGTGAACAATGATAAGATAACAACAAAATACAGTATAATCTCAATCCCTTGGAATCAAGAAGTGAGAAACTATTTGGGTTAGAGCTTTGATGCATTTACTTCCTAAAACATCATAAACAATGAGCAAAAGAAATCTGATGTG